TAATTAATATGCTAATTAGGCCGATTAAGCAAAATGCTACACATATGCAAATTAGCATCAGGCAGTTTCTGAGTCTTTATGACCTGTATATTGCATTTCCAACATAAAACCTTATAGTACTCGACATTTCTAGGTTCAATAAAGAAGACATAGGGGTGGCTAGTGGACTATTAGGGTTATTGTTACTGTTAAGTTTTGAAGTATACGTCAACTGTATCACGTGACCGTCTCTCCACGCCCGGGGGATAGCAACACCCTCCATCAATCCACCCTTCCTTCCATCCATCCTTTCATCCATCCATCCAATCAAGAGCTATTAATACCTAGAGTGTACAATGGAAAAACGGGAAAATAGTGCTATTTCACGACAACATTATTCTACTTTGCCTGCAAGACTAGAATAATTTCATGGTATTGCATTAAGAAGAATTCTTTGCCCTCTAAAACAAGACCAACCAAGGCTGAGATATTGGCTCCTAAACCTCCCCTCCCACATGCCTCTCGCCGCCTCGCATATACTTTATTCAGCTACCTTCACGCCCTTAAGCGTTGCTTCGTGAAAGTTCGGTTATTTCCGTGATGACTTTATGAATGAACGGCGTTTCGGTTATCATAGGTGACTTTCGGAGGCATCGCCTATGCCCTTATCTTCCATTGTCTTTCCTAGCACGGCTAATGCCCGTCATGATGGAGGCGGCAATGTTTTCTAAATTAAGTCTTTACAACGCAGCTCAGTTACTATATGGTGTAGTAAGAGTACCAAATTTGGGCATGTGACATCAATTATCAGCGCTCCAAGCGGTGACGGAAACCGATAGCCAAAACCCCTCCCACATGCCTCACGCCGCCTCGCATCCCGGTTATTCAGCTACCTCAACGCCCCTAAGCAAGGTTTAGGAGCCAATATCTCAGCATAGTAGTATCGTATTGACAAGCGGTTGGTCTTGTTTTAGAGAGCAAAGAATTCTGCTTAATGCAATATCATAAAATTATTTTAGACTCGCAAGCAAAGTAGAATAATGTTGTCGTGAAATAGCACTATTTTCCCGTTTTTCCGTTGTACACTCTAGGTATTATTAGCTCTTGATGTTACCATTAAAACGAGTGTAAAATTAAATTATTCCGAGTTGTAATTACAGAGAAATATCTATTTATACATCGACTACTAAGTCAGAAATTGGAACGGAGAAATCAGCGTTTTTCTGACGTCAGCCGCGGCTCACTACACATGTACGCGGGCAAGCAAAACGCTCTGACAGTTCACATGTACCGTTATATGGAGAAATGAGCATGTACACAGGTGGCACATAGTGTTAGCCATCGAATAAAGTTGAAAATGAAAAATTGGTAAAAATTTCCCTAAAACCTTGAGAGTATCCTTAAAGAATGTGTTTATGTGTCTAGTTCCTACTGTTTGATTATG